ATGAGTTTGAGATGCGGTGTCACCTCCGGGGAGAGTGTGTGCGCATCAAAAGGGATGTATGAGAATACGACAACTGTGGCATCATGAATCCGCGAATGGAGTTCCGAGAGCGAAGTCTGCTGATAGACGGTCGTAGTAAAAGTGTGACCCGGCGGGAAGCGAAAGTCGGGAATCGGACAAAAATCCGCCTGGAGGAAAACAATGTGGTGGTGCGTTGGAGATGGACTTGCGCTCATTTTCAATAAAATATGCTATATTCAGTATATCCTGAGAAGTCTCGCAGGCAGGTTTGAATCTTAGCTATGTGTAATCTGACAATGATAGTGGCATTTCACATGCCCGCACTAGATATATATACTAGACAGGTATCCCCACGCCCTACAAGCAACAAATCCGGGTGGGTCTGATAAGCTGACAATACGTCGTTTCTTGACGTCGTACCTCACCGCAACTCTAACACCAACAGCCTCCCTTAATATTCAAATATGCTCTCTTGGATAGCTTCATCGATACCTGGTTAGGCAACAGGTCCCCCATTCTATTGCATATATTACCGTTCATATGAGGGAGATTCTTGACTCGTGCGCGTTGCCCTGTATCTCGATTGCTAATCAGAAGGGTGAAAATATATATACTCTTCTAGCCCTCTTTGCTAAATCAGCGTATAACCTATCTAATGTTTTCATTTTCTTTTCTATATGCTTTCATTGCGTTTCCCTATCTGTAAAAATTTTAATTTTCTCTCCACAGTTCGTCTAATCCTTCATTGGACCAAAGCCATGGATTTCATCTATTCGCATATTAGCTCTCAATCTTGGCTCTGCCAGGAAGCTCCGTCTGATAATACAAGCATGATAATGAAGGCATATCACGCTTGCCTTGTACTTGAAAAACACTCAGTGAGACTCTTTTTTCTTTTTTTTTTTTTCTGCTAACCGACATTCCTAAAACAGATCCATAACAGTCTTAATCTTACACATTGCTCTCCACGTTCAGGATCTTCTCGGGAGACTGAAAGATTTGCTCAAAATAACTGGTCATTCCATCAACGTCCTCTATTTTTCCAACCCATCCAATGTGCTGGTCGGGTCTAAGAATGACGAGAGCGCCTCGTACCCTGTCAACACTCCAAGATTCGTACCCTTTCCCCGTACATTGTCGGTCCCAGAAACATTCGTCATCGCTCCAAATTTTGTCGTAGGCCCATCCTCTCTCCTGGTCGAACAGTCTGAGCATTTCTGGAAAGTCGAAAAAGTCCATATCTCGCACCGGAGCACTGTGGATAGTGATCACTTCAACGAGACTGTCGAATTTCGCGCCTTCGGGCTTATACCGCTGGAGAACCGACTCAGCTGAAGCTAGACGGGTGCTGAAAGTTGAGACGCGCTGCCTCTGATCTTCGCGACGCAAATCTCCCGCGAGGAGCACAATCCGGAAGCGCCCGTCGCTTGTGAAAAGGCGTGTTGTCCACCAGGCCTGGCCGTCTGCCTGGTTACGGATCTTGGCTGGTGGGAATCTTTCTCCAGGGATCAGATTCGCAGCGATACCCTCACCTCCCTTGTAAACTAAAGAGCTGGACCCGTAGTAACAGACATATCCGTTGGCAAATGCGATGGATAATTGGATCACGTCTATCAGTGTTTCGTTGCCGTTGCTAGCGGCTGTGCTTTCTGCAGCGTCACCCTCTTGCTTCTTCACAAACAACGGTTGCAGACGGCGGTCCAGATCGATCAGCATTTGGGCAGTTCTTTTACGCTCTAGCTCGTAAGTAGCGAGTATAGAAGGACGAGCGATCCCTTTCGCGACGAGTGCCACTTTCCAGCCGATATTGAATCCATCTTGCATACTCATGTTCATGCCCAGACCTGCCTTGGGAGAATGGGTGTGGATCGCGTCTCCGGCTAGATGAATGCGCCCTTTCGTGAAATTTGACGCGAGCCGCCGACCGACCTGTAAGAGTCCTCGAGTCACTCATCGGTCTCAGAATCCAATGTTCGAGTTCAACCATACCTGATAAACTGTCCACCAGTCGCAGATCCTGAAATCAATGTCGAAGGGCCTCAGCATTTGCTTGGCCTTTTGCCGAATCATATCAAGAGTAATTGAGGCTCGATCTAGGCATGCCGAAGTGCCGTCAACAGCCTGCAGAGGAAGATAGAGCCGGACAAGCTGCCTTTCCCTCGGGATGATCAAGAGAGTGCCGTGTTCAGTTGCCACGGTGCACACGCGGCGGATATCAGCTACCAGGAATCAGCAACCGGCATATAGCTACGGGCACCACCGGCCTCACGGAAGTTTGTGATGGGAACCATATCGACAACACCCCTGACAATGAGTCAGTCAAACGTCATGCGGAACAGGGTAACTGCCACAGTACCATATGTGCTCAGTTGTGGAGCCTTCGAAAGGTATGTTTAACTGTTTCCTGGTCCAGCTGTGTGCTCCATCACAGCCAATGAGGTACTTGGCCTTCACTGTCTCGACATTTCCCGTTCTCTCTTTGCTCCTCTTGATTAGATCATCCCAATCATCACCCTTGACGTTACTTCGGAATAGTCCATTTCGCACGCCTCCAGAACCACCATAGCTGCAGGAAGGATTCGCTTCTTCCTCGCTTAGGGTTCTCAAGGTGACAGTGATAGGGTACGCATCGCTACGATCCTCGGGGTTTCATCGCACTCCAGGGATTCTGCGAGGACGCCTCTCTCGACTTCAAGGTCAGAACAGTCTTGGATGGCATCCAAGATGAAACGTTCAATTCTCCCTTGGTTCAGGAGACAGTTGCCAAAGGGCGAGATGTTCACATCGTGAATCGGATGCTGTTCTTGTCTTTTTAGTTGGCCATCCTCATCTGGGACCTGAAAGCCTTGCGTCAGCCAGTATTCGCGACCATCGCCCAAAAACCATTTGAAAGACACTGACTGACCCAGAACGTGAATTCTGCTGCCCCACAGGCTTCGTGAAGGACTCGATGCACAACTCCTATGCTATCAAGCAGCTCAAGCGTCCTGGGCCTCAGTCCATCCGCCTGCCCGGTAACCACCTTGGTGCCACGCTTGTCGATGATTCGAGCATTCACACCGCAGCGTGCCATCCAGTAGGCGGCCATGAGACCAGACGGGCCGGCGCCGATGATGAGTCTGAATGCCGATCAGTAGCATGACTTGCAACGGGGCAGAAAATGGCTTACACATCAGTGTAGGATGTAGATGACTCCGTCATGTTGTAGGAACTTCGCTCGACTTTCGGTAGTGCAATGTCATGCTACTGTTTGATTCAACTCAGAACGATCGGGGAGCGCGCCTTTTGATATATGACACCATCTACTACAGCCATGGATCTTCCGTGGAAGCTTGTCCTCTACAAGGAACCCTGAGCTGTGCAATTCCGCCGGGGAGTTGACCAGGAACTTCGTTGATAACAGAAGCCAATGGTAATGAGAGATGCCTTCCAAGGGAGTACGAGGCATGGCATCTTCAGATATCGCCCGACGATGACTTGTCTACATGTCAACCCATAGTCAGGCTGTAGACATTGGCCCTGCTGAACCTAATCGCGCATCGTCACAAGTACCCAGGCATGAGGGCAGACTTGGTGCTCATCTGGTTTCAACGCATCCTTGTCGGGTAAGCCCGCCAAGTAACCGTGCGGACTATCTGTACAGGCTTACAGGGTACAGAGTGCACTGACTGTACTCGTGTATGCCTTAGTAGTCAGTCCTTGAGCTGAACCAAGAAAAATAAAGAAAGTCGACCGCCAAGTCTGCGGAGTCCATGTTTGCTCTCGATTGCCAAGCAGACGCCTGTGTCGACCTCCGAATAGAGGAGACGGCAATAGCATCAAAGAGCTTCAGGGCTGTTCAGGCAATCAACCGATCGATGAGGCTGATCATACCTGAGCTCATTGGCTTCTCTGGCTGCATATGCCTGTAGACTCAGCTGACGTCAGGATTGAAACCTGGCCCACGGAGATCGGGTTCGATCAGCTGCTTCAACGGTGAAGCTTTCAGCATGGAAGGCAGCATAGTAAACCCGGCTAGATTCTGAGTCGATGTGTGCGAAGCTGCCCACTCCATCTGCTGAAGGTTGATTGTTGCATCATGCCAGCACACTGCCGAAGCCTGGGTTGAGGAATGCAAATGCTCACTCGAAAGGAAGTTGTGGATACTCGTCCAGATGCTCTTTTGGGAAACCCCTATTTAAGTGGCATGTATGAGCAACATCCGTCCCTAACCAAGTCCACCCATTCCCTGGAGGACGATGTCTCCGCATCGTAATGTTATCATGCGGAAGTATCAAGAATAAGAACAGTGCACAAAGTTGATCACGGGGCAAAATAGTCCCTGCCAGATAGAGGGAGCAAAATAGGGCATATAAAAGCGCTGGTGAAGTGGTGACGCTGTCCCGATTCCAGACGGCTCTCACCAAAGCTCTCAGTCTCTGAAAAGACTTTCCAACGCGGAGTACATTTTTGGGCTTCATCTCGTGTTCTGCGCCCTTGAAGGGGCTGATGCTTCCAAGAACCAGCAGAGCCAGTGATTGGTTGAGCGCAGGAGTAAATAAACATGAGGCCCCTTGCGGAGCTTCGAACGAGGACATCGGGATCCTGGGTTCACTTTTCACAATCCAAGGGCTCGCATTCCATCCCTTAGCCTCAAGTGTCAAGACTTCGCTCAAGAATGGATGCCTTGTCTGCCAACTCTACGGCACACATGCCCTTTTCCTGTTCCTGCGAATCTGCATTCCGAGAGCGCAGGCATGTGCTCTAGTCCAAGAAAGGTGTTTACCTCAAGGATGAGAGAAGTGATCGGGGCGCTGCGACGCGTTGGATTGTTGCCCTCATACAGCGAACATAAATAGACGGTCTGCGTCCCTGGCGCGCTGGCCTCTTTCGAATTTCGCGATCCATCCAAGCACCTACCGCAGTCACTCATTTAGGACGCACCCCCTCTACCTCACGCAAAAGCGTAAGACCATTCGCTCACTTAGACTTTCGACGAAATGCATTTCTCTCCGGTGAGTTCTCTCCTGCTTTATATACTGCCAGCTGGTCAATTGCTGATTGTCCAGCTTGTCACCGTGGCATGTGCCCTTGCGCTGGCGCCTACCGCCGTTGTGGCTACCACGGCCGCTGTTGCCTTTGTCACAGTCGGCTCGGTAGACACTTGCCCTAGAGGTTTGGCCCAGGAAGTGACCCCGGGACCCAAGGTTGTTACCACAGCCTACACTTGCGAAAAAGCAAAGATCAGCCATGACATGTCCGTGTCCTATTACGACTTCGACATTCAGCCCCTCAACAAGGAGACCTATAAGTGCTGCCTCAAGGTCTACGACAACCCGGCTTGCCTGGGCGCTGCTGTTATTGACCTTCCTGTCGAGGGTCCAGCGGAGGACCGGTGCATCCCTGAGTACTTGTTCGACGACGAGGTGAAGTACATCTCGTTCCAGCTAGACTGCGACCAACCCTATGCCAAGGCGGAGCCACACGGTAAGCAATACGATGAACAAGGTTATCAGCAGGCAGAGCACGCTCCTAAGCAGGAGGCTCAAAAAGATCACGAGCAGGCAGAGCACGCTCCTAAGCAGGAGGCTCAAAAAGGTCACGAGGAGGCAGAGCACGCTCCTAAGCAGGAGGCTCAAGACGATTCCGAGCAGGGTCAGCAAGCTCCTGAGCAAGCGCCCGAGAGAACGGCGGGAAACCCTGCGGACAATCTCGGCCTCGGTGATCTCACAAAATTGCTCGGTTTTCGGTGAGCGACGCGCTCGATTCAATCTGTGAGATTGGCTTGCATCTTGCATCACGGGCAGGAGTGAGTCAGGTTGATGAGAAAGGGAACTTTGCATGCACACAGTCTTGTATTTTAATTTTAATAAGCCCCTTTTCTTGCCATGACAATGTCAATCAACATACTATTCATTTCACTTTGCAGTGTCGCTACACAAAGATCGTAGATGGCGGTGTCGTCGCCAATATGAGTCCTCTATTGCTCCGTCAGCCTGGGTGTAGGGGTATAATAACCCACAGTACCACAGTCCATAATAACTCATTTTTTCGATTGCGAGAGCCAAGTTCGCACTTTCAAGGACCAACCCTACGCATAGATTACGCGATTCCTTCTGCGCAGTAGGAACACCCGACAGCAGAATCAATCAAGGTCACTTCACTGAACCAAATGCGGTCTTGACGACATCTCTCAGAGAAACAAAGCATGATAACGATATAACCCAAAGTTCTAGCACCTCATGCATTGCCGGCTCGACAGGTCGCGGTCACCGTCAACAAAAGGAACGGAATGGAATGTAAGCCATCAAGCCACCAACACCACTGGCGCAGGCCCACCATGAGCTTGGCCCGGAATGCGCGATCTGCGGACTGTAGACCTGACTTGACCATCTGTCCATCGCACTACCGTGGGCGTGTGCGTGTCGATTCATCAGAGAGAGTGGAAATGAAACAAAGTATGTGTATACGTTTCAGGCGGCTCGTGTCGTGTCAAGGTCGAGGTCGTGGCTGATTCCTGCCATCGGGACCTATTTATGATTATCATTTGGCTTTGGCTCGAATTGCGAAGGGAGAAGGGCATGCATATATAGGGCTTATGTTCTTCAGGTCTAGCAAGTGAGAGATCACGCCTCAGTGCAAGTCTCTCCCAGACTGCTGTGCTGGGTATATCGCTGGCACCATGCATTTCACGAACGTAAGACACACCTTTATTATACACGATACAAGACTAACAGTATTCGCAGTACTTCCTCGCCCTCCTCGCCATCGTGACGCCCTCACTCGCCTCCTCAGCCCCTACAGCCCGCATCTGGGCCGAATTCTTCCCCTCCTGTCCCGTCAACCGCATCCACCCAGCCTCAGCCCCAGATCACCTGCCCCACGAGGAGTTCATCTCAGCGCTCGACATCTCCCCGGGGAACTGCACGAACATCTTCGTGCCGCTCTCGTACGGCCGCGAGGTAACACACATGTCCTTCGACGCGGAAGTCGAGGTCGAAGCCGAAGTCAAAGGCACCAGACCCGAGAAATGTAGCATTGCCGTGCACGAAGTCCCCGGGTGCGTCGACCCGCCTCTCCTCAAAGAGGAAGTGAAGCATGGCTTCGCGTCCAGCGATTGCGTCCCCAGGAACTTCGTCTCGTATAACCAGGTTTGGGTGAGGTTGGACTGCGAAGAGGCAGAGGACGAGGCGGTACAGCCGACTGTACAACCAGGGCATAGGCGTGGGCCCTTGCTTCATGACCTTCCTCATCTCCATGTTAACAAGTCAATCGAATTGGCGAACCAGACTGCGCCTTTTTCGAATGGGACAGGTTCCAGTACCGCTGCCAGGCCGGTCTCGCTGCGGAGGGCGCTGCGGATACGGTTGTAGGGTCTCCTTCTCCCGATTAACGAAGTGTGGGTTGCATATGGTTGAGTCTGGTCTACCTTGGCTGTGATTTTTGACTGGGAGGAAGGCCAGCAGGAAGAGATATGACGGTTATGTATATGATCAATGTCCCAGTTATGATGTCACGTTTTCAGTAGTCTGACAATCCATGTAAAAGCCAGTTCGTGCTATACAAGAGATACAGCTTCGGAGCATGGCTCACGAAGCAGATAATTTGCGGTCAATAAGTGTATATACGTACACCAGACGCCTCCACGCTAAAAAAAAACAAGAGGAAAAAAAAAATCAATAACAACACTGGCGAATCAGAATCCGAAGTTGTCGAGTAGCGAGTTGGCGTCGGGTTCGTGGAACATCGTAGGTGGTGGTTGTGTTTTCTGTGACACAACTGGTGTCTTTGGTTCCTGCGAAAGACCAGCTCTGATCGGCAGATCTGCCACCACAAGACTGCTTCGCCGTCGAAGCATCTTTCGGTAATCGACGCCGTTTTCCTGCAGCTTGTGCGTGATGTCTTTCAAAGTTTTCGGTGGAGGAGGTACGCTCAGGAACTCCCAATGGCGCACAAGATCCAGGGCAAGAAGGTCGCATCCCATGCGGTCATACAGTCGGGCGTTGCGAATGATGAAATCCCATTCCGCTCGGGCTGACACTTGAGAAGCTCCTTTCAGTGTTTGCAGGGTCTTCTCCCGAAGTTGTTTGTACAGAACGACCAAGGCAGGATCGTTGGATAAGAATGACTTCGCTTGGAGTGGAATTGAGCCAGGGCTTCCAGGAGACAAAGGGGTAGAAGGGATCAACGTCTCGACCGGCGACTATACGACCAGTGTCAGTCAACAAGACAAGGAAGAAACAGGCAATACCCTCTTACAATCAACGAGCGGACGGCCATGTCGCGACGGCCTAGCATCCAAAAGGCCCACGATGCCATCCATCGGTTCCCGTCAGATGCGGCTTCGGGCAAAACCCTCTCTTCCAGGATTTCTCTCAAAACGGGACCGTTGTCTCCTTCGTACGCACGCGTAATAGCGATCGCAAGCTGCAGATCCCCAACCTGGTTCAAACAGACGTTGGCGGCATCGCGCAGATGGTCTGCAAGAAGGAAGAAAGCCGCCGCGTACTCTGGAAAAATGTCAGAGGTAGCTTACTCTAATTCGGGGCATGTGCAGGAAGAGCGTACCAAACCTCCGTTTCCCAAGCAGAGCATAAGCATTTTTCAGAGCTGCAGTCTTCCATCGAGGTTCTTGAAAGTCATTTGCCAGTAACCGTTGAGTGGCAGCTTGTTCGCGGTGCCAACTTGCCATCCGCCACAGACCCTGTAGAATATTCTTCTTCTTGAGCGCGATATAGAACAAGGAACAGTCAACGGGGTTCTTGTCCTCCGTCTTGGTATATTCATTGCGCGCGACGAGCTCCAATTGCGCCCGCTGTTCTGTGTTAGCTCTTCGTCGTTAACCGATGAAGTCGGGGATTGCTTACAATAGCATTAAAGTCTGTCAGCCACATAAAAATACCGCTTTCCCTGGCTGCCGTCCATTGCATCTTGCCGCCGTACTGTCTTGACACAAGGTCGGACAGGATATCTTGGCTGCCGCTATGGAACGCCCAGACAATCTCGCGCCAAGAAACCCTATCCTTATTTGCGACGCCTTGACTTCTTCGCAGCATGTGTTGTCGAAAGAACAAAAGATAGCGAGCAGCATTGTCATCCATTGACCGTCGGTGCTTCTCGACCGTGGCAACGCATTCGATTGTATCAGCTAGGCGGAACTGCTCATGGCTGGAAAGTTGTGGCAGTGCGAAGCGAGAGAGATTCTCATTCAGGGCGGCGGCAGCGTTTTCGTCCATCACATTGGAGGTTTCAATCAGATCTAGGTCGGCGTACGAGGCCTGTAATTGTTTGGAAGACGCTTGCTGCGGAATCTGCTCATGTCAACGTAAGCCTTGGATATCACAGTGCACTACTTACATCGTGCTCCACGTAGAAGTCTTCCAGCGGCGTTTCCAAAAAGCCATCAATGTCGTCACCTTCAGTGTAAAATTTCAATTTCCGATGCAGGGTGGTCAAAACAGAATGCACCAGATTGGTCTTGCCACTGAGGATGCATTGCGCCAGGAACTGTGGGTGAAAGACAGGTAGCTGACCGTTTAGTCGACTTACAACCTCGAACAAGTCAACCGTGGTCCGACCGCGAGAAGGTATGCGGAGCTGCGAAACTAAGCGGTCACTGGCGTCAATCTCGTTGTCGTAAACAAAGAGTTGGTTTCCAGCGCCAATCCCAAGGTGGCCGTTGCTAAGCCAGCAAGAATCACCGATGGGGTGAGGTGTCAGATCCCGGATCCAGATTTCTCTAATCTGCGTCCAGGATGGACGAGCATCAAGATAGTCATAACGCAACTGAGACAGTAATATGACTTTATGCGGAAAGCCTATTGCCAAGACTGACTGCTTGTCTGGCGTAGATGTCCAATCGAGATCGCGAATGACATCGTGTTGGGCGAAATGTTCCTCAAACTCCAGTTGCGCACCGTTTGTATCCCAGATTGTCAAATGAGTGCGATCCGCGTCTACCAGAGCTGCCTTCTTGGTAGAGCTCCCACTGGCGAGGGAGGGATTCTCAATGCCCGTGTCGACCGTCGAGGTCAGCAAAAACTCCACCTGGCTATTCTGCTGGTCGACCTTGGCAGTCCAGGTATGAATGACACCTCGCCTAGTATATGACAGCGCTATATCAGGCGAAAAGAGGTCGAAGAATCCCGATACTGCTTTTTGAGGGCCTGCAGGGTCAATAGGTAAGATGTACAACATGTCCTCGTCGAGACCAAGATTGAAGGTACAGAACTTCCGCAATGAGCACTGCGTAGCTGACAAGACACCGTTGGTCTGAGCTTTGCCAGTAGGTAAACATATCTCCCACGCTATTCCATTCCTATCGGCCCCAATTGTTGCGATGTAGACAACGTTGCCGCCCTTATCGGCTGTTGATAACGGAAGGACGCAGAGCGGTTTGCTGGAGAGTTCGAACGACTGAAAGGCGATCTTTCGGGAATGAAACGCGCGGACATCCCAGACAGAGATGCCATAATGGTGAAGATTGACCAAAAAGTCACCACTTTCGATCACGCAGCTACGATGAATGTGCTCGTCCGAGTAGAGCCAGCTCTTCCGGACCAAAACCGACCGACCATGTCTCCACCTTTGCTTCCAGATCGTGGCCTTGTTCTCGTTAGTCCGAGAAACAAGTGTGTCTCCAGCTGCGTTTCGAACGATCTTCTTGATCGGATCAGTATGTCCGGTCCAAGACGCTTTCAGGGCGATCCGGTTTTTGCGCGGCGTTGGGTCAAACAGGACATCAACTTGCGAA